CATCCGAACGCAACGTGCTAACCACTACACCACCACTCTTTGTGCTTCAGTATTAGCTGCTGTGTACTTGTCTTTCAAGGCAGGATACACTTTTTTTCCCCTCGACAGCCTCTCACGGACAGTGTACATCTTTTTCTTTCCAGCGGCTTCTTTGTCGGCTTTTCGTGGGTTGCTGGCTGTAAGCTATGCTCGCTCTTTGTAGAAGGTGGTGGCACTCAGGAAGTAGCCCAAAAGTAGGAAAGTGCCAACCGCAAGCACCGAATTCCAAGGCTGTCGCTGGCCCCTTCTTCCGAGGATTGCTCAAAAACAAGCATTAGCACAAATTTATCTCTCTAATGAGCATATTATTATCAGTTTGTCATCGAAATGAATGAACGAATCATAAATTGTTTGGCTATTTTGCTGGTGCAATCGAATCCTCGACTTTTTGCACAACAACGCTACTTCCCCATGCCATGCGATGAGATGTATTTGGCGATTAACTTTTAGAAAATGTCACTGAAGACAAATGGCCTCAGTAGTAGCCACACTGACCAATGACCACTATTTCCACTTTAGAGCACTTTAAATACTAATGACATTTTAAATTTTTAGGTTACGGACTGTGTGTTAATTAACTGGTATTTAAAATGAGCAAAACTAATTTGTGTGACCAAGTAGATGGAGGGATTTTTATGCGTTTTCTGCTGTGTAACGGCGTTATTGTGTTGTGTGTTTGTGTGTGTGTGCCGCAGCAACTTGTCCGCAACTTTCAACTCGGGAACCACAAAAGTTAGGAAGCTGAAAATTTAGGGTAACGTTCCCCACCCACGTGTGATCCCGCAGATTTGAATTCAGCTTTCCCGTACCCGCGGGTAACGCGTACGGTCCCGTGAAAGTACGGGTAAGTTAATATCTCGGGAACCACGGAGTCTGGAAGGCTGAAATTTTAGGGGGAATGACCCACTGCCCACGCTCAACCTTGCCCATTCAAATTCAGCCTCCCCTTACCCGCGGCACAAAACGCATGATCGCACCGGCTAGTCTAGTGCGCGTTGCTATTTATTCTTTGTGGAAGGCTGACTTGCTACGATCCAATAGACAGGTGCAGAAACACGAATCGAACTTCGATTTTTAGGCCTTTTCAGTCTCTGGCTGACCAGTGACTTCAGGTCCAAGCTTATGTATTACATCAAAAAATGTTTGTTTTTCTTGGTGCTTCATTTTTCTGCATGCATCCCAGTCTTTCCTGTTTATTGGTCATTTTATTTTTTTTTTTCAGAATCATTTGAATCAAGGAATGCCGTTGTTGATACGACTAGTACAATCAATAGATACAAGAAAAGCAATTGAAAAAAGCACGGATTTGTTACAGTCATTGCTGCACTCAGTAATTTACGTTTTTGAGTCGCCAACTCTTCGAGCCACTGAAGAAGCCGGAAAGCTTACCGGCGCCTTTCACTGGGGACTTTGCCTACAGGTATTTTTGATGTTTGTTGAATTCAAATAGACTAAATATAAATCAGACAAAGAGCTAAGAACTAAATTCACTCTATCCCTGCCACCGTACTCGCTCTCTGTGAGATGCGGAGACACTATAAGTTAAAAATCCATTGGTTAATATCAAAAATGAATGCCTGACTATCTATAAATGTGATAAATGGCAACGCGCACCAGACTAGCCGGTGCGGTCATGCGTTTTTGTGCAATTCAGCCCATCGAACGATTGCCTGTTAATGATTTTCACTGCTTTCTACTTTAGTCTATGCAAAAATAGTTCAAACATTAGAAAACAGTTAAAAATTTCAAGCACCAGCGTATGAAAGCTGAATTCGGAATCTCGGAGGGATGAATATCTTTCCGTGATTCCCGAGTTAATAGTTTATCCGCCAAAATTTTCACGAGGCCGTAGGTGGTAACGGG